AGGAGATGGCACACAGGATCCCATCAGAGGAGTTAGTTGTTGGAAGGAAATGGAAATGTAAGGGTATGAAGAAGCTTATTTTGTTTCTTAGTTGGTAGTCTCATGAAAAACCTTTTTGAAAAGCTTTTTGCAGAGGACCATGGAAAAGAGAACATTCCTTTCCGAAAAACAAAAACATCAGTTGTTTCTGTAACAATTAATTTTTACCAAAATACACTCACATTTATATTTCTGACTCACATATTTCTCAGTGTTACTCACCCAACATGTTCAAAAGGCATAATTACAGCAATTGGTTCAAACTCAGCCGTTCCTTTGTTCAGACTTCTCTTTCACTGCTAAGAGTTTTCTGTTTAAAGAGGTTTTCACTGCCATACTCCAAATGGAAGGAATGTGACAGTTCCCTCAAGAATGTTATAGAGGAGTGGATTAAGATGAAAGGATTATCAGTATGTCATTTCCCATTTGGTAATGTGTTTAGAGAGGGAGTCAGCTCTCTGCTTGGAGAAAATCTCATTCCTGTTACTGACCAGTTATCCTGTCAAGGATAAGTATGTGTGCACAAATGATTCATTCAAAAAATACTTAACACACAAGCAGGGTTAGATAAACCCGGTTTCAGAATTAATTTTCAAACTCTTTTTGAATACCAACTGGGCTATTCTCTTATGAAAGATAGCTTCCAAAAATCATTGCAGAAATTCTTAGTAAATATGGATGTTTGCTTTTAAATCAAATACAGCAGACTTTCAAAGTTATTTGCATATCTTGAGGCCAGAGATTTTATTTAAGAAGTAGTGTGTCTTAACATCAGATTTTTATAGGAGGGATAAATCCCATATTTTGTTAGGGAGCAATAATTGTTTGTTTTTTGAAGATCTCCATGTGATTGTGTAAACTAGGGCTTCTTAACATGTTTTGTGTCATGGACCCCTTCTTGGAATAATGTTTTTAAATGTATAAAATACATGAGATTCCAAAGAAAACTAATTGTATTGCAATGGAAACTAATTATTGCAAAAAGTATTTTGCAGTATATTACATCATTCTTAAAAAACCCTAGGTTTAAAACCCATGACACAGACTATGTAATCATAACCAGGGTAGACCCTTGGCAATAATCTCTTCAGAGTACCTAGTCTCCTACTTCTGTACCCTCAGTATCCATCACTTTCCACCATACCTTAGTCTGGCTGCCAGTCAATAGTGGGAGTCTGCCCAATGGCGGGGTATACAGGTGTTCCGGGAAGACTAATATCTAAGGTGTGAGGGCTGCTTTCCACCTTTGATGTCCACCTGATTCACCCAACCCTCTCACCTGTGGCTCCAGGAGGCTGTAGCATGCACAGCTGCCACACCTAGTAAACCATTTCAGCAGATGGGCTAAACCAGGTTGAGGGTAACTGAGGGGCCTCAAACCCATCAGTGAGTTGCGGGGGTGTCTATCCCAAGCATGTGAAGACTTCCCCCAGTGGAATGGGTGGATGAGAACAATTTTTTCCAGTAGCCAAGCAGGCAGCTTGCATTTGGGGTGCATAGAGCTTGTCTGGACATCAAAGACGCCGAGGTCATCTCCTGTATCCTTGACCATCACTGGTCATCTTGACTCTGTCTTGCCACTGGACTCTGATAACTCTGGAAGAGAGAGTGAGGCTGATAACTTTCAACTCAGCCTTACTTAAATCCAATTTGTGTGAGTGTCAAAAGATATCACCCATATAATTTTACCATTTTTACCTACCTCAGAGTCCAGTGGCAAGTGATGAAGCAGCAGGTGCAGATAAACAGGGAGCTGTAACCGCAATCCTGTACACAACAAATGTCTATTAAGCACCTCCTATGTGCTAGGCACTGTGATAAGCACTATGGATACAAAGAAAGGCAAAAAACAGTCCCTACTTTTAAGAAGCTCATAGTTTAATGGAGGAGACAGCATGTAAAAATCTGTGTACAAACAAGCTATGTAGAGGACAAATTGGAGATCAAGAAAAAGGGTCTATCGTTAAGGTGATGGGGAAAGGCTCTCTAGAGAAGTTGGGATCTTAGCTCGTGCTTGAAGGGTTTTAAAGGGCGAACAGGATTTTACAGTTTGTTCTGGAGATAATAGAAAGGGACCACTGGCGTTTATTGAATAGAGGGAGGGGTGTGACACAATCAGATCTGCAATTTAGTAAGATCAGTTTGACCGAAACCAAGAATGGAGAATGCATTTTTAAAGGGTTTTTGCACATTTCCTAAAATTGTTTTACGAAGAACTTCTTCTTTAGTTCAGAGTGTATTCTTTTGATGAAGAAAGTAGAGATGATGTCCTGGTGGCCCTTTAAAATGTTAAGTCAAAAGATGGTATAGCTTGAAAAAATACTAAACAGAATTAATTATCTTTTTCTTGGATTTGATGAAATTCTGCATATTTTTCACCATCTGGTCTAGCCCATCTGTTGTGAGTAGTTAACCAAGTAACATTTTTTCCAAATGTACTAAAACTGTGTTTCGTGATCAGTTCAGAGACAGTGTGGTGTAGTAGAGAGAACCCTGGTTCTAAAATCCAACAACTTGGCTTCAGATCCTGCCTCTGAACTTTGTAGCCTGAGTGACCTTAGGAAATTTGCTCTTTTTGGGCCCTTCTGTAAAATGAGGTGTTTGGATCGTGGCCTGTGAGGTCCTTTCCGACTCTAGAACCATGATCTTATGCACTGTATTTTGTGATTTGTTGTTCATTCGTTTCCATTGTGTCCAACTCTTGTGACCATCTCTTGATTGTCTTTAGAAGCATTAATTAGCACCCAAAGCAGTTAGATTAAATTTCCTCCACCATCTTCTCTGAAGCAGTACAGTGCCTAGGAGAGAACACTGACTTTGGAATCATGAGATCTAGGTTCTAGTCTCAGATTTGTCACTAACTCATTGTGTGTCTTTGATCAAGTCAAGTTTCATTTTTCTCATCTGTAAGAAAAAAAAGAAACATCAGATTAGACTGCCCCTAAAATCCCTTTTAGTGCCAACGTTCTGCGAGTTTATCAGTTGCTGTGGCAAAGACAAGCAGGTTTAAAAAAAAAAAAAGAGTGTTCTATGGGGGTTGAGTTTTATGTTATTTTATTTTTCAAGTAAGTATAAATCTTGAGAGAATAGCCCCAACACTGTCTCCTTTGGGATATCCTTCCAGACTAACTCAAAATAATCTGCATTCACCTATAGGCACACTTACCGACCTCATTCCAGTTCAACTGATTCTAAAGGTTTTTTCCCTCCTATTTATTTATAGGGAGATATAATGACACAGTGGGAAAAACCCTGGTTGCCTTGAGAGTCAGTGGACTCTGGGCCCAGATCTTAGCTCTTTTACTAATTTTCTGCATGACCTTGGGCAAGTCATGTAAAACTCTCTGCCTCAGGGTTGTCTTCTGTCCAGTGGGTACAATAATGCAATCCTGCCCTACCTACTAGAAAGGATATTGTGAATATCATTTGTAATGAGGATATTATAGTGCTTTGAAGGGTATAAAACACTATGCAAACTTTGTTGCTTTTCTTAACCTCTGTATCTTTACAGTTACAGGCCAAGTGCACAGACTTACAAGCCAAATATGATGAAGCAAAGACAAAACTATCAGAAGTAAGTTTCTCTCCTTCCTTGGCTTTTGAAAAAAATTATTCAGCCACGTATTTGGCACAAGGGACTATCAATGACTTTTGATCCATCAGTAAGTATAAATTTATACAATGCAAAACACTGGGTTAGCTGGTGTAGGAGAACTACACAATAATAGTAGATATGGTCCCTGCCCCCAAGGAGCTTACAATTTAGATAGAGAGATAGGAAGGACTTATATGAATTACCTATGAAAAGTTAAATAACTGCAAGAAATTGTATTACAAATATTGGGAGTAGTAGGGGTGCTCTAGTGAATCACAGTGGGGAGAGGTCCCTAGAGGCTAGAGAGGTATCCTAGAAGTGATATTTCAGATGAGTCTCGAAGGATGGATCGTAGGGTTTGAAGAGGCAGAGTACAGGAGGGGTAGGCACCTAGGCTAGGGAACCTCATAATACACACATGGCTGAGGATCCAAGAGAAGTAGAGAACATAGACCCTTCCTTTAAGAAGTTTATTGTCCAATGAATTCATTAAGAGAAAAAAATTGTTTACGTTTGGAGATGTCAGACTTTAAATATATATATTTATCAAGTAGAATCATCAAATATTCTAATTGGTTTTTAAAAATTGATAAGAGGTGATTTTTTAAGAAGTGGGAGAGTGCATTGTGACCTATAACATTAATTTATATTAGATTAAGTGATCTTTTGGGTTACAAATATCCTAAGGTTACCACCAGGAATTTGTATCCCATGGATCCCTACTTTGCTTCGTTATGTCACCAAGGTGAAGAAAAGGGGGGAAAAATTAGTTGATAGCACATTTATTTTCTTATAAAAATAGCTCTACTTTGACGAAATAATACTTGGTGGTTCTCATCAGATCCCCTTCATTCCTTCCATGTGCCAGACACAAGTGAAACTCGTCCCTGAAGTTTTGGAAGAAATGTGAACTAAAATGTTCAACTCTATTTCTATTCTATGAACAGATTGAGGTAACTCAGTCTTTGACTGAGATCATTTAATTCTACATGTAATCTCCTTCCAGAACATTGGTAGGTATTTTCCAGGCTTGGTTAGTTCTCCTACAGGGATGGGGAACCTGTGACCTCATGTGGCCTCGAGGCCGCAGGTTCCCCACCCCTGTGCCTAGGAGCTTGAGTGGAGAGATTTCAACATTTTCCAGACTCACTGGTGGTGAGCCCTTGTTCTCCATATTGACTGAGAACCAAATGAGAGGCAATTTATTTTGATTTACAGCAGAAAGGTTTTAGGTTGGTCATAGGGGAAAATTTCCTGACTGTGAGTTGAAAATTATTAGAACCTGTAATTAAGGGACATTGGAACATCCCCTTTCCTGGGACTTTTAAAATTAACCTATCTTGGAAAGTGTGGGGCATTCTTGCCCAGAGACAGAGGATTATACCCGATAACTTTTCTGGGATCTTTCAGCCCTTGGGCCTTGGGATTAGAATCTTGGGTCCAGAAAGGAAGTGTATAACTTAAACCACACAAAAAGTAAATTATCTGCTTAATGATAAAGCCAAAGTAAAGAAAAGTTGTTTCTGGATTGGGAGGTGTGGGGGTGTGGGAGTAGGAAGCTTTATATCAAAAATGGTGTTTTAATGATAACCCTGCGAGCATTGGAGAATGGCCCCCAAAGAAGCAGTCTCTGGTTTAGAAAGGGATCAGATGAATGGTTCATTCATTTCAGGGTGATTTATACTTTCTAGCCTATGCATTATTGAGTCAGAGAGTTATTTTCACAGTATTTGATTAGGAAGCCTCTGTAGTCTTGTCTCTTACATGCTTTTGAGAGAATTCAGAATTCCAAGAGACCAAGTATTGCACTCAAGTCAATTTGAAGACATTGGAACACAGATGTAATCTGTGAAAGAATTCCCCAAACCGTCCTAGCTGGAGAGTATGGATCTTCGCAGTCAGTCCAGTCCCGCCCATGGTAGCTCCCAGGAGTCCTTGCAGTGCCTCTCACCATTCTCTCATAGCTGGGCAAGATGGCTCCAGGCCATCACCACCACCACTCTGTGACAGGAGGTGCCAGTGACCAACGCCCCTGGCATATATACTCCTGTTCTACTTTTACTTAGTTCCAGACCTAAACAATGAAGTCTACAATAGAAATATTGTAAAGAAACTGAGATAAAATAAATGAAATTAGAAGTCAATGCAGTCAACAAGCATGCTTTAAGCACCTTCTAGGGGCCAGGCACAGTGCTAAATGCTAGGGCTACAAAGGACAACAAACAGTCCCTGCTCTCCAAGAGCTCATGCTTTAGAAGAAAAGTTACAGAGTACAGGCTTCTCAATTAAAGTAAATGCTAAATGAAGCTACTCTAAACTCTAGTCCATGGTAGATTTACACTTTCTGTCTCTTTCCTAGCCCCCAGATCTAGTGGGAGCCTGCTTCCTAGTTCTGGACTCTCCTGACTTCCAGACTGCCCCTCTGAAGAGCATTTTCCTGTCCCTTGTCCTCCTTCATCCTCCACTAATTAAGAACAGTGGTTAGCTGAAGGCCTGGCTCCTGCAAGCTGAAAAATAGTAGTCTTTATTCTGTTACTCATTTTGCTTCAGTGAATGCCTCAGCCATATTTAAAAAGAAAAACACAAGGGGAAATTCTCTGCCTCAATGTTTCAGAGCAGCAAATAGACAACTTGGCAACTGTCTAAAATAGTTTTTGTACACCTTTATAAAGGCTTGTAAGTGTCATCCTTAAAAATAAATAACAATTTATATTCCTGAAGTTTACCAGTTAATTTCGTTACAGTAAACCTGGGACATATAGTGGAAAGAATGCTGGATTTGGAATCTAATCACCAGAGTTCAGATTATGACTACAACACTTCCTACCTTTATGATCTTGGCTAAATCACATCACTTCTCAGAATTTCGTCGTCCTCATCTATAAAATAAGGGTGTCAGATTAGAGACCTCTAAGATGCCTTCTAGCTCTGAATATGTGGTTCCTAGGTAGGCAGTACAATTTTTATTAACCCCATTTTACAGATTAGACAACTAAGATCCTGAGAGTGATATCTAGTGTCCATGTCTAGCTAGTAAATGTCAGAGGTAGAATTCAAATTCAAATATGACCCCAAATTCAAAAAGTCATTGATTCTTAATTCCGGTGTTTTATATGCCACACTATGTCTCATAATAACTTTTTCCTCATAAGTTGGGGAAGTGAGAAGGTGCTCCTACCCTTTATATTTAGTTCACTACCCATTAGTTATTCTATATAAAGTGATTGCTGCAACTTTTCAGTCTTAATAGAATGAGCTAGAAGCAGTCTGGTTTGGGATTTTCAGTGTCATCCTTCCACCTTTTATTGCCTGGCATTTCCAAAGCCACCTTGCAAAATGGTATCTGAGGCCAAATTTGGTGTCACCCACATTGAAGATGAGATGAGTTTTATTAGTTCCACAGTGCTAAAGTGAGAAGAGAATGTGTCAGGGTCCCCTCACTCCCCCAATCCCATGAAAATGACATGGCCATTCTCTCCCGCAGGTAAAGAGTTACAGTGAGAAACTGGACCAAGAATTGGCAGCCCTCGAGAAAATAGAATCCCAGGCTGACCCAAGGCAAGTTTCTCCTCGCTTGATTGTGAATCCGTTTAGGTTTCCCTGCAAGCTAATTGTAGGATTGTCAGTGTCTGGTTCACTTAGTTATTTCGAGCATGGTACTATGCTATGGTTTTTATTTTATGTGAGACCGTTAGCTTGATTCTGCTTCATGGACCCAGACTGTGCCCCTTCTACATTTTTTCCCCTCCCTATCTAAAACCACGTCAGAAGTTTCTCAGGAATAATTTTAATATATTCTAATTCTAAGAGACAGCATGGCACAGGAGATGGAGGCCATCCTTGAAGTCAGAAAGACCTGGGGTTGAGTCCTACTTCTGACAAATGCTGGCTGTGTGACTTCTTAGTTCCCCAGGCAACCCTCAGAGACTCTGAGCCATAGAGTAGATGTTCATCCTCATCCATGGAAGTTTCCCTATACCACGGGTGGGGAATCTTCGGCCTCAAGGCCACATGTGGCCCTCTAGGTCCTCAAGTGCAACCCTTTCACAGAATCCAAACTTCACAAAACAAATCCCCTTAATAAAAGGATTTGTTCTGTAGAACTTGGGCTCAGTCAAAAGGCTGCACTCCAAGACCTAGAAGGCCACATATGGCCTCAGGCTGCACATTCCCCATCCCTGCATACCAATGGGAATAGGAAACTGGGAGTTCCCTGTACAGATATAATCACACTTGGCACTGGTTGCTTCAGAATTAAAGAGCTAAAGCTATTTTAAATTGGATGAAACATCTCCATTAAAATCTTCCTCCAATATGACCCTGGATTCTCCAAGACTGTGCCAATGGAGTACATACTTTTCGAGGTCTTTACAAGTTTGGAAAGACTTCGACTGTGGTGCTACTGACACCCTGCCATCCAGTGACCAGTCTGGCTAAGTTCAGAGGTTGGTCACCAGCCAAAGAATATTCCTTCACTAAGGAAGTGAGCTTCTTAACCTTTTTTGTGTCATGGACCCCCTTGGCAGTCTAGTGAAGCCTACAGATACCTCCTCATGATAATAGTTTTAAGTAGTTTAAGTTTAAAATAGTTTTAAAATAAAATACATAGGATGACAGGGGAAACAGTTACCAAGATGTGCATATAAATATAAATTTTAAAAATATATATATTTATATATACATTTTTGTATGTATATACATACACATATATAACCTCTAAGAACCAAGGTATAAAGTTTACGGGTCAGGACTTACGTGCATCTGTGGAGAGAGTACTACAATATCATGGATCTTTTGAAGTGCCTTCATGACTTCTTTTAGGAAGGTTACTCTGAAATGTTACGTATTTTTATACTCACAAATTCACTGTTGTTTTGATTTTTCCTGTGTATTTTAAGATCATATAGTAATACCTCTTCTTTGCTCTGTAAGCTTGCAATGGTCTTTCATCAAGAGTAAAACCAGCCTGACTTGATTATCCCCCTTTACCCTTAACAGCTGAGTAGGGGGTTGACAGACCTATTGCAGCTACTGGAAAAACAACTCACAGTGACCCAACTAATGTTGGATCATCTTTGCATATGAAGGGTAGAATTATAAGTATAGATTAGCCCAACAATGAGAAGGCACATGTCTGCCTTTTGCAGGAGATGTATAATAGTTCCAACATTTGGTTTTAAATGAGGGGAGGGTCTCTTATGATACTTATGTTTTGCTTATTATTGACATCTCTTGTTATTTATTGAGATGACTCAGTATATTAGGTATCAGTTAACTTTCTCTACATTGCAATGACACCCACATTACAAAATTTTTAAAAATCACATGTAAATTCTGGCCCAGAAACAAAAAGCCCAGGATTTTAATGGATATTTTTCTTCAATGGAATATTCAGTGGGCACATAACAATATGAAGAGTAACAATAATAAAATTGTACCTTACATTTCTAATTGTACTTTGCAGTTTATAATTGCACTTTCTTTACAACAACCCTTTAATATAAGTATTATTAGCCTGTTTTTACAGATGAGGAAATTGAGGCTCAGAGATATTATATGACTTGCCTGTAGCCATAAGCAGTATGAGTTGGAGTAAAGATTTGAACCTAAGTCATCTGACTCTGAATCCAATTCATTATACTCCTACTACTAATCCATTTACATTCTGGGACAAATATTGTCAGAGAGTTGACATTTTTATTTCCAAATCAGAATTTTTAATGGTCTTAGGGAGACCTATTTCCTCTTCAGGATAGATTTTTCATTCCTTTTTATACTCTGTATATAATTGAATAGCTGGTATGATTAAATATCCCACACTACTGAAACTCCTTGATGTCCTCGTATTTATGATTTAAGTTCTTGAATTCACAATGTTTGGATGCAATATGATAAGCTATAGTTATCAGAAAATAGGGATATAAATTAGATTTTCACCTAAATAAAAATCAGTTATCAGTATAGAAAGCTTTGTGCAAGGGACTCTTTGGAGAAATGAGTGAAATAAAAGCTATAGCTTTTGTATCTGGAGAAGCTGGCTTTAGGTCTTTTTCAGAGAGAAACAATGTTAGTTCTTCTGCTATCTTCTTTTTCAGCATTCTGCAGAATTTAAGAGCGCTTGTAGCTATGAATGAAAATCTGAAAAGTCAGGAACAAGAGTTCAAAGCACATTGCAGAGTAAGTGTTGTGCCTGTCCTTTCCCTTTCTCCTCAATAAATTTCATGACTTACCTTTCCCCGCTTTGCCCCCTGTCGCAGCCACTTACTTATTCATTTGTTTCTTCATTCATTCAGTCACCGTTTATTGAAGGCTTTTATTAAAGGCTTTTTATGTGTCTGCCACTGTGTTGGGTGTTGTGGAAAAACAAACCCAAACATGTATATCCTACAAGCACTTACAATCTAGTAAGAGAAGTAAAATACATACACAAGCAATAGCAGGATTAGGCCCTGTGTCCCAGGGGCCAAGGGAGTGGTACAAATTAATAACTGCTACAGTAATTCAGGAAATCAGAGACTCTCCGAATTGAAAGAATTCTCAGAGTACATATAGTCCAGCCAACGCCTGAACAGGATGGGTTGATTCGGAAAGCCTTCCTATGTAGAAGAGAGGATTCAAGCTGAACCCTAAAGGAGAGCTAAGATTTTCAAAGGTGGCTGAGAAGAGGGTGTTGGGGGAAGGGGTGGTGTCATTCCCTATACTGCTCCCATCCAAGTATTTTAATGACTTTACTGATAAAGTATTAATGGAGCATGTATATATGGCTTTTGAATCAGTCATTTCCATAATTGCACATAGATGATAGCTGTCCATGGTTCATAAATACTTGTATTGCTTTCAAAGGAAGAGATGGCACGCCTGCAGCAGAATATTGAAAATTTAAAAGCTGAAGCATCAGAAGATGGAGATGAAAAGGTAATGGTTCTGGATTAGAATTCAAAACTCTGGATTTTCTGTTTTCTGTCACCAAGACATCTCTACTTTTTTGGCTAGTTTGTGTAACAGCTCTGCGGTCAAGTTTTTGAAAATTCTTTCCTCCCATGTTGTGTTGAGGTCTCCCACAGACTCTGTACCCTACTTTCCCTGCCTTCTCTTGAGAAAAAAAGAAATCAACAATGGGTCTCAAAATTCAAACCTACTACCCAGAAGTCACCAGATCCCTCTTTTTATCACAGCCAACTTTAAAGGATAAGAGGAAGGGAAAGTTATGGAAGTATCTGTTGTCTGCTACTTATTTCATCCCCTTTAGAACGTTTCTCTAGAGATTGCAAACTGTTTTTGTGAGAGAACAAAGAAGGATTTGAATCTGCTTAGCAGAAAGTGGTGAAGAAACCATATTGTGACCATCCTGAAGTTCCCAACATCAATGAGGGATGTTACACTGAAGTCTAAAGAACAGTCTGAATTCTAGTATCTGTTCCAAGCCACAAGAAATTGAGAACAGCCTCTTATCATGGTTAGACCATTCCCTCCCCTAATAGAAGAATTCGAGAGAGTCTAAGACTAGACTTTACTTCATTTCTCAGCACATCTCACCCCAAACAGAGACATGTTATACCTAAGAGGCTTACTGGTCGTGTTAGTAGTCTTAACTCAAGATTTCTTGAGGGTCTGTCTGTAGGCTGAAATGCGCTTTGATTTCTTTTGTACAAACAGAACTCTAATGATCTTTCTCTGATTTATTTTTCCTTTTTTGTAAGTAACTAAAAGTTTGTTGCACCCTGAGGAGCCCTGTTTGCCAATACAGAAACAGTCACAGAGTGTTCAGGGTAGACAGAGCCTTAGAGGTCATCTTCATTTTTTTAGATGTGAAGACTGAGGCTCAAAGATGGGGAATGTCACTTATGTCATTGTATAACTGTTTAGTGGAAGAGCTGGGATTAGAACCTATGTTTCTTGACTTTTTCCTAGTCTAGTGGTCTTACTCTTGTGCCATATTCTCATACTTATCCTTTTGAATTGTTAATGATTGTGTTACAGATCTGATATATTGGCCTTCATAAATCAAGACCCACCACCCTCAACATAGTGTCATCTACTTTGAATTTTCTTCAGTAATGGTGTTGGGCTATGTAACATTGGCTCCATAGGTAGCAGTACAAAGTCTTTTATTTAGATATAAAAGTATCTCTTATAGCAGTGAACAGCAAAATATGGCAGTTATTTTAGTCGTTTCTTTAGTAATTTAGTAAAATGTAGCAGTACCTTATATTTACAAGGATTTTGTCTGGAGTTTAAGGTCCAGGGGTAGGGAAGCTGCAGCCTCGAGGCTACATGTGGCCTTCTAGGTCCTCAAGTCCAGTCCTTTGACTGAATCCTGACTTCACGGAACAAATCCAACCCCTGATATGGTGTATGACCATGAGAACAGTCTGAATTCTAATACTCATTCAAAGCCACAGGAAATTAAGAATAGTTTCCTAATATAATGAGAATAGATCTCTTCCCTATATGCCAGAAGTATTATCTCATGAAAATTTGTGAGTCTGTAGCTGTGAAATAAAACAAAATTAACTGGACCACCCAGTAATAGAACCCATAACCTTAGTCTCATTAATTGTAGACTCTAAGTGAGAGTTAACCAACCCAGACTTAGTGACAAATGACTACCAGTCCACCCTATTCAATCTTGAAAGCTTAAAACACCCTATTATTTCCATTTCAGGTCTGTGTGCTAATGCGCCTTTTGTTTCCACCTAAAGTTTATTAATCTTTTCTCAAAGAAAGCAACAATTTGTCAAATGTTGTAATGCATTTTTTAAAATGTAAAATTCTTTTTCTCTAAATTACTGTTGAATTCTCCCTTTTAGGAGCCCAACAGAATTATAGAACAACAGTATAAAATTGAGAAAGAAAAGCTTCAGAAAATCCGACTGTTGCTGGTGAGTAGAAAACTGTTGACTAAATATGATTTCCTGTGTTGGAATTAGAAAGTCACATTATTTAAGAATCGGATAACTCCTGTAGACAAGACTGCTGTTTTCAAATTTGTCAGTTTATAGCTGGAGTCACAGAGTAAAGCATGTAAATTTTTTAAAACTAAGTTTTATGACATAAATTTTATGCCATATCTTTATTTTTTTATACTAATGTTTTTAAAATAAACATAGAATTTAGCTTTAGCTGCAGAAAATCATATACACAGAAACAACTTGTAGAGACATCAAATAACAGTTATCAAAACCATCTGGTGTTGGTTAAAGAAGAGAGATAAATCAGTGGAACACACCAGACAAGGGAGATTCAGAAACAATAGAACTCAACATCCCAATGTTTGATAAAGTGGAAAACATAATTGTCTGGAGAAAAACTGCTGCTTGATTTAAAAAAAAAAATTGGGAAAAAAATGGAAAACAGTGTGGCAGAAATTAGGCCTGTATTAACACCTTCTACCACACTCCACAATACATTCTAAATGGAATTAGAGAATGAATTAAGTGTCAAACCATGAAGGGCCTTGAGTTGTTCTAGAGCAGGGCATCGTATCCTCTTGTGTCATTGATCCCTTTGGTAGTCTGGTTGATAAAGTGTGTGGACCCCTTCTTAGACTAATGTTTTTAAGTGCTTAAAACATATAGGATTACAAAGGAAACTAATTACATTGAAATACAGTTATTGAAATATTAAAAACAAAAAACATTCCAGGCCCATGGTTAAAAACCATGTTCTGTAGCATCTCCAGTCATGTGAAAGAGTCTCACAAAACTATCTTCCCCATCCCTTGAAAAAAGCAATAACTTGAGTTTTTTTTCCAAATTAACAAGCACTTTCCCTTTGTCCCACCCCCTTCCCTGACTTACAAGAAAGAAAAACAAGTTTCTTTATTGGCCATGTTGAAAAATATGTATCTCATGTTGAATCTTTCACATCTCTGTCAAAAGGTGGATAACATTGGCCTTCTGGAATCATGGTTGGGCACTGAAAAGGATCACCTTCTATCTTTAATGCACTTTAATTTAAAACATAAAAAGCAGGACTCTTGAGCCTGGAAGTAAGAGGAAAGGTGATCAAGATTTAGAAAATAATGAAGAATGTGGATTGAATGAATTCAGATGTCATCATATTTTGGGATATTAGAACCAGAGCTCCCTTTGAAATTTAAAAGTGACAATTTTAGGAAAAATAAGTGGAAGCACTCACACACTGATTACTCCAAGAGATGACACAGGATGAAAATATAAATAGTTTAAAGAGTGGCTTAGATGAGTTCATGGATGATAAACCTGTAATAACTTAAGCGATTTTAGAAGTGTTTGGGTTACATTTTTAACCTTGTAAAGCTGATGTCATGAAGGATAGCTGTGCCCTCTCATACCATGTCCCTTTGTGCCACTTTCAGAGACAATTTTGTACTATTTTTAGAGCTGACTCATGTGGCGGTGCTGACTTTCTTATATGTCATATAGCACTTATTTTAGGGGAGGCAGAGAGTAAGTTGAGAAAACAAAAGAAATCAATGTAATTCTGAAAAGGTTAAGAAATATGTGTCTCACTTAAGCCTCCCTCTTCTAAATTATGCCAATTCCTTTGAAGCATTCACTATGCTAGGTACTATTGAGATGCCAAAAATAAAGATTAAAAAAAATAAGACATGATTCCTTCCCTGAAGATATAATTGGGGAAGGAAGACATCCCCATAAAGAGACAATACACAGGAGCGTACATTACGCTAGAAGTATCCAATATGTGCCACATGAGTGCTGAAGACATTAAAGGTTATATGAGTCCAGAAGAGCAAGAGGATTTGGAATGAGGTGGTAGGAAGCACTTAGCACACAGTGCCTGGCCCATAGTAGATGCTTAATAAATGCTACTTTGACTGAATGACTGACTTGAGCTGAGCTTTAAAGGATATATAAGATTAATTTGGACAGAGAGGATGATGGAGGGGAATTTCAAGCAGTGCAAAAGTTATGAGCAAACATGTAGAGGCAAGAAAACATTTGTCTAGAAGCAGAAAGCTGATGAAAGGAAGACAAACCTGGAAAGGTACATTGTGAGTCCTGAAGGCCAGGCCCAGAAATTTGTACTGTCTCCTTTGGCCCTGGAGAGCACCTAAATGAAACCATAATAGTTGACACACATTTAGCCCCTTACATATATTGTTCCATCCAACCATCTTTATTGAACTGCCACTACATGCAAGACACTATACTAAGCAATAGGAACATAGAGACAATGAAACATAGTCTCTACCCTAAAGGAGTTTATATTCCATGGAGTGGATAAGGTAGGTAACAGTCAAGTAAATACTTGATAACTTGAAGAGGGATAGAGTACAAACAACCAGAGTGATCAGAAAAGGATTCCCATAGGAGCTGACAGATGAACAGACCTTGAAGGAAATTTGGGATTCCAAAAGGGAAAAGTGAGAAGGGAGCTCATTCTAGGCATGGGAGGAAGTTTGTGCAAAGACCCAGTGGTGGGAGATGGAATGTCCAACAAGCTTCAACAAGAAGGTGACCGGTGTGGTTGGCAATATAGAGTGCGTGAATGAGAATAATAAGCTGGAGCCTACTCTTCACGTTTCTCTATAGTCACCATCTGCTTGCCCTCACTACTGTGGTGTCCTTCCATTTGATTCCCAAAGCCTTATATGCCAAGCAGGCATGTGTCTGTTCTATTATGGCCTCCCTGAGGAAACTACACCACCACAGCTTTGTCCAGTCTTGTGACACTGAACTTGAACCAGATCCCCATGTGGGAATACAAGTGGCTTGTTGGATTGATGCCAGAAGGCAGGAGCCCACATTTAGGTTTGTTTCCTGGTCACACGGTTTAACATATTATCTGTGTCGTAGTAGAGTGCCCTTAAAGGACTTCAACAGTACTGTGTTCTGACATTTGGTAGGTCACGAAAGACCAATTACAAAATGGTGTTTTTCCTCCCTTGCCTTTAGGCTCGAAGAAACCGAGAAATAGCAATTTTGCAACGCAAGATTGATGAAGTACCCAGCAGAGCTGAGTTAACACAGTATCAGAAGAGATTTATTGAACTCTACAGTCAGGGTAGGTGTATCGACCAAGAATGTAACTCCCAAGGCTCGGCATAATGGAAGGGAGGGCTTCATCATGTTTTTAAACCATGGTGCATGAATCACAGCAAATTCTTTTAATGCCACCATGGGTAAGGATTTCATTTAATCACATTCATGCTCACTTTGCACACATTCCATGTAACCTCCCAGTGGAGTGGCCTATAAATCCAAATAACAATGCCTTGACATTCTCTATTGACAGATTCTTTTCTTCTAATTGAGCTCTTGGTGTTGGGCTGTGGAACCAGACTTTATCTTGAACAGCCAGCCAACATACATGTACAGCAAGCCTGTTGTTATAGTACATAGAGCTCTGTCCAAGCTGCTGTGTCATGTCTAGTGAGGAGGGGAGGAGGAATGACCATAAGAACTAAGGTTCGATCCCTCCCTTTAAAGGGTTCATAGTCTCATTGAAGAAGACACATACACTCTCAGTGTGAAACTTAGAAACACTTGTAACTTGCTTATCTAGTACAAATTAAAATGGGAGGAGAGAATGCAGAATAGAGGCATTATGGAGAGTTTGGTGGGGCCTATCTAAGAATATTCATAAATATTTGCAAGGAAAATTTAGAAAAGTTCGTTTCCAAAATTTGGATCCTGGCCATAACTACACTAGTTCTACTTAGTTAAACCCAGGTTCCAGCTGGACTATATCTATATAAGGAGGCAGGGGAAGCACTAATCAATCCTGAAGAAATCATTAAGCACCTGCTATATACCAGGAACTGTGTTAGGCACTGGGATACAAAAGACAAAAAAGAAATAGTCCTTGCCCTTGAGGGGCTTTCATTGAATTAGAGGAAAACTAATAGCTGACTAAAGATTTAGTATTATCTACAGATGCCTTAGTGTTTCTGGGGCCCCGTTAGTACCAAATACCTGCGTAGTATTGTAATTTAGGAATGCTGTGGCATAGAAACCTTGTTTTGCTCATCTGTTAAATGATGATCACTAATGCCTTTTACAAAAAAATTGTTTAAGCCTTGTACTAGCACCGTGTTTTTGACAGTGTGTCATGCTCTTTTCTGCATTGGTTTGTGTCTGTTGTGAATTACCCTGAGAGTTCCTAAAGAGAAGAAGCTATGGCATGTTTTACTAAACGATGTGTTGAGTCAGGCACTTAATCTTGAGGGGGAGGAGGGAAGAGGCAGGAAACAAGAAATTTGACTCCAGAAAGGTGGAGAGCTGGAGAGCTTCTTTCCTTCAAGGCCTATCAGTGTTAGCAGTGCTCTTAAAGGGTGAATCATTTATGTGATAACCTCATATGAAGATCATTTAGAAATTAGTTACTGGGGGCAGCTAGGTGGCACAATGGATAGAGCACTGGCCTTGAAGTCAGGAGGACCTGAGTTCAAATCTGGCCTCAGACCAAACACTTGTCACTTGTGAGCTGTGTGACCCTGGGCAAGTCACTTAACCCCAATTGCCTAAAAAAAAATAAGTTACTGATGAAAATTTCACACCATGAGCTAGCTGGGGTAAATGTCGTTGTTGTTACCACTCTTCTCACCATCACCACCACCACCAGTTTCTAGATGATAGTATTGAAACTCCAAAGAGATTAAGTGACTTTTCCAAGATTACACACGTAGTGAGTACAGGAACCAAATCTAGAATGAGCCCTAGTTTTCTGATTCCTGGTGATCCCGTACTCTGTATATTATACCATGATATGATACAGTTGTCCTATGCTCATGGGATGATTATCATTATTTGTTAGTAGCATTGAAGGTGACTGATGCTCTTTGTAGGACCACCATATTCTGAGCAGAATCTTCCAGTTTTTTGCATGCTTGAAGAAGAGCAGATGTTGAATAAATTGGCCTGATTATACAACAGCAATCCCTTTGCCTATTTTTTTCTGGGGACCTAAATTGCTAGATCACTGATGACTAGAAAATCTTGCCAATTAAACTCCTTTGTTAGTAAGGAGCGAGAGGCCATGAAGATCTTTAATGTGTTCAGTATGGAGTCAGGCTCCCGAAATGGTAGCCTGTTGGTCTGACATTTCATGTGACCTAGAGCATTGACTTTATTCACAGAATCACATAAGTGACCATCATAGCCTGTTTTTCTTTTGGTTCTCCATGGCTCTGGTCCTAATGATAGGTTGTTGTAAACACAGAAAAATCTCCAGTTCTATGGGGTGTACATTTCAGGTTAATGGAAAGAAAAAAATGGTTTCCATGAAGCATTTTTTTTCATAGTTCACTGATTTTTTTTGTTTGTTTATTTTATGCAGTGTCAGCAACCCACAAAGAAACCAAGCAGTTTTTCACTCTATATAACACACTGGATGATAAGAAGGTTTATTTGGAAAAAGAGGTAAGAAACTTAACACAAGGGAGAATGATAATTAAGTAACCAATTAATGATAGAATTAGGGACACAGTCTAAGTCTCACACACACACACACACACACACACACACACACACACACACGTCAGAAATGCATTTCATATTTAGGATACCCCTGTAGGTCTACAGGTATGTGCAAACCCACCTACACTCTCTCTGTGTGTGTCTCTGTACCTTTCTTTTTCTCTCACACATATAAACAAACATGCAATCATATACACATGCATGCCTGTGCTCACATATACACATGGCAAATTAAAGTGGAGAGGAAGACTTCAGAATTGTTTTATGAATATTCCATGTAAAAACTTTCAGCCTTTAGTTTATTCCTCACCCTTTACTCCTGTGTACAAGGAAGCATCAGGCCCTGTATAAAGAGGAGACTCAGCCCTACCCTTGGAGAGGTGTAGTTTCATTGAAGTGATCTCATACATAGATGCTGTAACTTAAGAACACTTCCATAGTATTCTTAAGGAGACCACGGTTCTGGCCCTTCTGCTACTATCTGTGTGACCTGGGTAAGCCACTTCTTTTCAACGAATCTGTTTTCTCATTTGTAAAATGATGTGAAAATCCCTTTCCAACTTTATAATTCTAAGATAAATTGAACATTGGATTAATTGAATGAAGGGTCACCCAGGAAAAAGGGGGAGAGTTTTGTGCAGTTATTAAGTTTCTGGAAGACTCTAGGATTTAGATATTTCTTATAACAGTGGCTATCCTCATGTAGTCCAGTGAAACAGGGAAAAACCACTAGGTAAAGTCAGGGAGAGCTTTTCATGGAAACTTCTTTTTCACTGCAGAGAAAGCCTTGATATATAATAATACCTTGTCAGAATTTTGCTTTATTCCTAGTTATGTAATTGAAGATAATAAGGTTCCTAGCACAGCACCCTGGACATTTAAAAGATGGTGTTGAATTTGAATTTGGAGAGGAAAAAAAATAGGATCCTAGGGACCTTTGAGGCCATGAAGCCATATACACATCCCAGCCCCCCAACTCCATTTTAAAAAATAGGGAAACTGAGGCTTGAGAGAGGTTAAATGACTTGAGAAGGCTCTAGTTTACAAGTACTAACTGAGCACTTCCAATGTATAGAACATAGCAGTCGGTATTTCATTTTAGAATCATTGTGTTTATTAAAACATAGTTAATCTTCATTGTGCAGATCAAACCCTGGATTTATAAGTCCTCTGTAAAAAAATTAAAATATCCAATTTGCTACCTGTCAAGAGTACCCTTCTTTCACAGCTCTGCCATTCCTTATTTATCACCTCCTATTAAAGCCAGCTTGATGATCGCCTCCAGGAAACCTTTTGGGATGTCACACTCTGACCTCTCCTTTCTGCGTCATCCTCTTAGCAATTCTTTACTCAATGCCAGCATCATGGAAATCAGTGGGACCCTTTCAGGATCATCTAATTCAACCAGTTTAACAGATGAGGAAACTGTGAGCTAGAAAGGTGAAATGACTTCTCCAAAGTCACACAGCTAGTTACTGATAAAACTGGGATTAGAACTCAAGTGTCCTAACTCCCTGTCTACTGTTCTTTTCATTATAACATATACCTCTCTTTAGTCTGTACTTTCATTTTGTACTTGTTGGAGTAAAAAAATCCACGTGTATTGTTGTGCACCTATACCCCTTCACCCCTGTAAAGGAGGCAAAGAAGGTGAATTTTCTCATTGCTGCTTTGGGATCAGCCCTGGTCATTATAATTCTATAGTGTTCAGTTGTTTGGGGGGATCTTTTGATTGTTGTTCTTCCATTTACATTGGTGTAATCATTTTATGTCTTTATTTACTAGTTCTGCTTACTTTGTGTCAGTTCATATTAGTCTTTCCATGTTTTTCTGTATATTCGTATTCATCATTTCTTCTGGACTAATAAATTTCATTACATTTGTGTACTCCAGTCAGTTTTTTTCGTTGTTTGGTCGTTTTTCAGTCATGGTCAATTCTTTGTGACCCCATTTGGGTTTTTTTTGGCAAAGATACTGGGGTGGTTGGCCATTTCCTTCTCCAGTTCATTTTACCGATGAGCAAACTGAGACAAACAGAGTTAATTGATTTGCCCAGGGTCACACAGCTAGTAAGTGTCTGCAGCCAGATTTGAACTTAGGTAGAGGAGCCTTTCTGACTCCAGTCCCATCACTCTATCCACTGTGCTACCTAGCTTTTGTTTAACCATTCCCTAATTAATGGTTTCCAATCCATTGCTACTACAAAAAGGGATGCTATAAGTAATTTGGTGTCTATAGGACCTTTTTTCGTGTTTTGACTTCTTTGGAGTAAGATCTCAGAGAGATAGACATTTTAGTCACTTGCTTCATGATTCCAAAGGACTTTCGAGAATTATCGAACCAAATCACAGTAGTGCATTAATAATTCTTTCTTTCCAAAATCCTTCCAACACTGACTTTTATCATCTATGACAACTTTCTGGGTGTGAGGTGGAACCTCAGTATTGAATCTTTTTTTAACGTTATTAGTGATTTTGAGCAATCTTTCCTGTGGTTGTTAATAGTTTACCATTCTTCTTTCGAAAATTATTTGTTGATATCTTTTGATTGCCTATCCATTGGAATGACTCTTGGTCTTATATATTTGTACTAGTTCCTTATGTATATTGACTGTCAAACTTTATCAGAGAGGTTTGACACAGAGATGCTTTTCCCAATCGGTATATTCCTTTATTATCCTAGTTGCAATGAATTTCTGCAAAAGTTTTTTAATCTCATGTAATTTAATTTATCACTTGATATGTTAGTTTTGCAGATCTGCTTTTTTTCTCTTTTATTCTTAGTCATAAGAAATGGCTGTCTGGTTAGAAAAGTAGTAGAGATATATGTGGAAGGAAGGTGAAGTAAAATCAAAAGATATCAATAGAAATTGCTTTAAAAAAATAAAGTCTTTCTCCTTGACTCAACGTAAGACAAATGTTTTCACAAAAAAATTAATGAAAAGTATATTTCCTACAGATAGTAGGACACTATATGGATCAACATATCATTTAACCGTATTTTTCTTCAAGGCACTGTGGTAAATTTGTATGGCTTTGTGAGAAAGGATATTTAGGGGCAGTTTGGGGGCATATCATAAAGCTGCTCCCCACCACACACAACATCAGATTGAGGACCCGGAGAGTAGGAATCTTGTCAGTTTCTATATTTCTTACTGGATTAGTAATTGCTGGTGTTATACTTAAGTTAAATTTTTGCCCAATTCAATTTAATAAATATTAAGAAAAAAATCATCTAGTCAACCCCTTTTATTTGACAGATGAAGAAACTGAGGCCCAAAGAGGTGAAGTGACATCCAGTGACATTTATTTAGCATTCTATATGCTGGGTACAATGGGATACAAAGAAAGGCAAAAGACAGTCCCTGCCTTCAAGGAGCTCACAATCTAATAAGGGAGACAACAAGCCAACAAATACATACAAACGAGCTATGAATAGTATAAATTGGTGGTGATTAATGGAGGAAAGGCACTAGAATTAAGAGGAGTTGGTAAAGGCTTCCTATAGAAGGCGGGATTTTAGTTGGGTGTTGAAGGGAAGCCAGTAGACAGAGATGAAGGGAAGAGCATTCCAGGGATAGGTGACAGCCAGATAAAATGCCTGCAACCAAGAGACGGAGTTCATAACACAAAGAAGCCAATGTCACTGGATCGAAGAGTACATTGAGAGGGGTAGATGGTGTGAGAAAACTGGAAAGGTTAGGAGGGTGGTTCTGGAGCCTTATGAGTAGGGCTTTGAGTGCTAGGCACAAGGTTATGCCTCCCTGGGTCTTACTTTCTTAGGTTCTTTGGCATGGTCCTTGCATGTGTACATGTTTTGTTTCCCCCCCTAGACTGTGAACTCCTCAAGAACAGGGACCATGGCTTTCATTTCTTTTGTTTCCCTTCCACAGTTTCTAGAACAGGGCTATATACAAGGGTCTACTCACTGTGTCTTGACTGACTGACTTGGTTTGAAGCCAGTGATCATCCACATAGAAAATATCTACAGGCCCTAAGTTCTACCTTCAATGTCCCTTTTTTTTTTTTTTTTTTTTTTTTTTGCCAGTGTCCCATTTCTACAAACGGACACTGGCTTCTGCTCACAGTAGCTTTGTGGTGAAGAACTAGCAAAGAGCATTAAGATAAAGGCTATGTATGGTGGGGTTTTTTTTTCCCAGTTTGGTGCCATATTAATCAGTACTATGATTAATTAGACCCAATTAGGGTCATGTAAGTGTAGGATTCTTGAGGCTGTCACTGGGGTTTTGTTTTCCCCAAACGCTTCTTTGCCATTTAAACACAAATTCTCCCCCATTAGCCTTATGATCATTTAACTCCTGCCAAATGGATGAGTTTATAACTATATCAAGTGTTGTGATTAAGCAGTGGTTAGGTTCTGTTCTATAAAACATTGGAATGTTTGTTCTGCACTTAAAATAATAGCTCATGGACTTTTCCCCATCTTTCCAACATCATCCTTTAGCTTTTTGAAACCCATGTGAGATTTCTGCCAAATAGTTCTGATCAAGGCTTTATAAAATGTCAAGAAAATCACATTATCAAAATAGGGACATTTTTGCTCAGTGTCCAGGTTGTGAATCATTCAGTTAGGGAGCATTTATAAAGTGCCTACTATGTGCCAGGCACTCTGCAGCCAACAAGTAAGTGTCAAGAACCATTCGTCAGTGGTTTGACGTTATCTGGCCATTACAGAGGGTAGAATGAGGGAGATAAACTTATTTAGTTCATATAGCTCCATTCTAGACAAGATGTATCTTGATCCCAGAGGACTTGGATTCAAATACTGGCTTTTTTACTTACTACCTGTATGACTGTGGCAAGTCATATAATGTCTGTGGGCTTAAGTTTCCTCATCTGTAAAATTAGGGTTTTGGACTGTCTGGCCTTTAATGTCCTGTCTAACTCTAACTCTGTCATCCTATAAGATGACTGTTAGAAATCTGTGGGAAGCATCACCACAAACACCCTGTCACCTGACTCTGAATCTCTAGCACTGTTAATTATCATCAGTATTATTGACTCTTGTTGATTGAACTTTACACTTATGTTTCAATAATGTTTAGTGTCACCTTCTGTCTTGTTCTTTTTAGGCCTGGAAGCTGGGGGGGGAGCAGTGCCAAGAGTGATGTGGGTTGAACCTTAAGGGTCTTTGCTCCCAGACAGTCTGTCTTGTGCCCTCATGTTCTTGGGAATTTGTCTTGACTGCTTTGGGGAGATCGTCCCTGGAGTAGGCCTATCCCATACTCAAAGCACCTTGTTGTTCATGGATACTTCTTGATCTAGTCCTTTTACAAGAAGTTAAATTTTTCCCCTTTAATATTTAACCTTACTAATGTTGTCTACTCAACTTCGCAGTGGTCTAGGCAATTATCTAAGACTTTTAAGTTATAGAGAAGGTACTAGCCTGCATTGGGAGAGAAAGTTCACTCCTTCAGGAGTTAAAATTATAGGTCTAGTCCCAACCCCTCTCCTATTGATGCTATAATAGAAGTCCTTTGCATTTTTATAGTGCTTTTTTAAAATATTTTCAAGTTACTTTCATGTCTATAAATATTTTATTTTTGAAACTTTTTGTGATGAAATTTCTGTTTAAACAGTGTTGAATTGTACCTGTGTTTTGAGCATAAGGTAGGGAGAGCAGGAATTCTCATTCCCATTTTGCGGCTGGTAAATCTCCAAGTCAGAGAGGGTAAGTAATTTACTAGAGGCCACAAAGCCACTTAGCGTCAGAGCTAGACTTGGAACCCAAGTCTGCTGTTAACTGTAGTTTAGAATGGGAATTTCTTGGAATTTCCTGGAATTTAAGATCTTGGAATTTCTTCCTGGATGTGTCTGAAGTAGTTTCTGTGAGGTAGGGCACCAGTAGTGATATGACCCCCAAAGATGACCCATGAAGGATTCAACATTGGGTTGGAGTTGGCAAGAAGACTGCAAAAAAAGAAATCTTGTGGGTGCACACGTTCTTTTTGCTTTCCACATGACTGAACTGCTGATGGGTTCCTAGCAATTAAAATATCGCACATCAACATGTGGGGAAGGGACAGTGGTAGCAGTGCCACCCAGATGGCACTGATTTTATCTCAGGCACCCGGCACTGCCCACCCTCTGTGCCACCTCCCCCCCACCCAAGCCTGAACTTGGGCTTCAGATTTTCTTTGGTAAATGATTACTTCTACATTTGTGAATTGTCTTTTCTGGTTGTTATGATTTTTTTTTCTTTTATGTAAATATAAAAATCCCTTTTAAAATGCATCTTTTTGAAATAGGAAGTTCCATGTATAGGAGTGATAAAGTAATTTCCTTGGGTACTTCTTAGTTGGAAAGTGTGTGTTCCTTAGGGAGCATAAATAAGCAAGGCATGAACTTCCTAGCAATATTAAAGAAAAGTAGGCTTCCTAACATTCGAATCAGTTAACCTTCTGCTTACAGAATTTTTCTTCCCCAGATTTCTTTGCTGAATTCAATTCATGAAAACTTCCAACAGTAAGTAAACATTACCACTTGGTCTCCCTTTCTATAAAATGCTGCACACGTTGTACTTTGAAATGAACTATCTTTGTATTGTGGATGGGATAAAAAGATGTGGTTTTAAAAAGTATACATAATCATCTGAGGATATAGGGGGAGGATGCCATTCTTAGACACACAGTCCCTGCTTGTTGCTAAGTATAAATATATCTTGATTTAGACAGTTTGTTCCTGTAGGAAATTATATCTAAATCAAACCATCTTTTAAATGTACTAGAAATCTCACTACTTAAAAGAATTTTGTGGTGCATCTTTTTAAGTCAATAAACATTTGCTAGTTTATATTTGAAAATGGATCTGTGATCTCATCAGTATAGGCACACCTTTCAATGTTTGCAGCTTGCAACCCAAGCTTGGGTTGCCTTGCCTTCTCATCTAGTGTGATTCTTTTCCACATTCTCCCATAAATCTTGCAGAGAGGAGATTCTCTATGCATGGAAATCCTTTCTCTAGGTCTTTTGGTTTTCATTGGCTACTAGTTTAACACTTAGCAACTAGCTTTCTCCCTTACAAGTGTTGCCTCGCCAACTTATCTGCTTTTCCAGGCTCGTATTTTCAGAACCATAATTTTTGGTAATATGCTCCACCCACCACACATCTTTCCATTGTCCTTTGGGTCACCCACATTTTTGGTTCTTTGTTCCTTTTGTTGTTATTGTTATTGTTCTTTGGTTAAATCCTGGGTGTTATTTTTTCTTCCTTTATTCATGCTTTTTGTTTTCATGTTAGTCATTTCTTTAACCTTCCTCCCTGACCCATGCCTGCAGTTTAAAAAGGGGAGTGTAATACCTCATGTCTTCTCTAAGTACAAAATTGAACATTATAATTATATGTCAGTTCTGGTTTATTTTACTCTTATTTTACCTTGTGTTGTCCAGCTTTCTTGGGATAACTTGAAATCATAAAAAATCAAGGATTTCAATTCCAAAATTCTCTTTACTTCTCCTTTTAAAAAAACAAATTTTACATTTAATAATTTAAAAAATAAATTAGATTAAAAACCATTAATTTGTTTAAATACCCAACATTTAAGAAAAAGTGGAGGGAGGATACTTAACAAATCAAAGATAAAGTATAATTGTAATAATATTAGCTAGCACTGAGACAGCACCGAAAGGTTTACAAAGTGCCTCACGTATGTCATCTCATTTGATCCTCACAGCAGTCCTGGGAAGTGGGTGTCATTATTATACCCCTTTATACAGATGAGGAAACAGAGACTAAGAGAGTTTAAGTGAAATGCCCAGGGTCACACAGCTGGTAAGTGTCTGAGACAGGCAGGATTTGAATTCAGGTCTTCATGACTTGAATTCCAGTACTCTGTCCTCTGTACCACACAAACTGCTTCTAGTGTGTTCATTTCTCAGGGGCTGGAAATCGCCACTGGTGTCATTCCAGGAAGGAGTTAATATTACTTGAAAATTGCCAGTTTTGATCTGATGACTTGAGCCCCCAGGGATCTCCCAGAATGACATCTACTGCCTTTTCTTCCAGAGCAATGGCGTCCTCGGCTGCCCGTGACCAGTTTTTGCGACAGATGGAACAGATTGTAGATGGAATTAAACAAAATAGGATGAAGGTCAGCTGGGTTTCTTTTCTCCCTCTAAACTTGAAATTTCATTTGTAAAAAGAAAACAAATTCACTCAAGAGAAGCAATTCACCTTTCTAATAAATAAGTGGATAATGTTATAATTATGATAAAGTGATAATTATAATGATTAGCATACCACTCATTCCCCTAGTAGAGAAGACTTTGAAAATAATGCAGTGAACCCTCCAGTGACACTTCATCCCTCCAAATGAATTGCAGCTCTTTTTCCAGATTTCTCCATGGGCAGAGCCAGCTGGTGAAGTTGGGTCTTCATTGTGTGATTTGAGTGGTACTGGGAAAACCCTTCACCCCAAAGTAACCTCCCTCATTGGGGTGTTATAATACCTGAAATTCTGACATTAGAAATTATTTCTTTTGGGTCTTGAAAGCTTTTTGGAGTTTTAGGAAACTTCTGCTAAATTATAAATATAACCAAGAGATAATCAACTAACATACGAGCAGTCCCCAGATGGTTTATGGGCCCCAGGATGAGAAAGGATTGGAGAGAGGGCATGACAGGGCACCAGAGACAATCACTACCTGCTTCACAGTTTGGCTAAGTACGATCCTACCTGTCGATTAGGATGGCAGGTTACCTGTGTTAACACCACAGACCTTGTTGTGTTTTGTCAGTTATGAAATAGGCTCACTGAGTTTTCTGGAAACTGACTCATAACTACCTACTTCTTCCAAGTGGGACCTAGCTAATCTTTCAGTTGTGGGCCTATTAAAAACATACCAGCAGTGACTACTTATGCTGTTGATAGATTTTTGCATTAAAAATCAGTGTAAAATTTCAGTTAGTCTGTACTTTAAAAAGATAAAGTGAACCTACCTTGGCTACCACAGGCTTCCTGTCCCTAGATGGCGAAATGCAGGCAGTTATCAATTACTTGTAATGTTAGTAGGGACCTGCATAATTGGAATTTGGGAGTTGTCAGTAGATTTTAGTTTATTCCGTCTTCCCTTCTAGCCCCAACCTTTTCTTGCTGGGGACCTTCTGTTGATAATAAGCTATTATGGAAGCTTTAGAGATGCAAATTTCAGCTCAATAGAAGGAATGAGGTTTTGGGTTTTTTTGTTTGTTTGTTTTTTGACTGAGCTGTCTAGAAATGCAATGGATTATTTCCTCATTAGGTAGTGAGCTCCCAATTAGTGGAGATATTTGAGAAGTTCATACTGTTGGTAGGATGTGAATTAGATGGCCCCTAAGTTCCTCTCTAAGTCCAGGATTCTATGGGTCAGAAGGTACTTATTGAGATTTCAGCCCCTTGGAGCTGCTTACTGCCTAAGGGAAGTATTCACAAAGAGAGAAATGGCCGGCGCCTTTAATTCTTCTCTTTTCTCTATCAGGCTTTTTGCTTTTGGGCCATTACTTTCACCAAGGACTCTGCTTTTTATGGAAAAAGAAACTTGATGTGACCAAGTTGTCATCAAAAGTATACCTCTGTCAATCTAGATAGATATAGTTTTATAGAGAGAGATCTATAGGTATTTATAGACAGATATACATATACAATTGTGATATAATTTGACTGGATTATTTTTTAATGCCTTTATACATTTAAAGTTAATGCTGTCCCTTTCAAAATAGTCATCTTAAGTGCTAGCACACTTATTCCAGTGATATTACCATGACTCAGAACATTTTTAAAATTCATCTTGGATCATAGGATTATAAATTTAGAGCTGCAAGGGACCATCAGAACCGTGACGGAGCTGTGTCATAAAAACCCATGGAGGGGAGAATATCTAGAAGGATGGGGGTGATCAGCATTATGTCACACGCTGCCAAGAGCTCAAAAAGAACATAGAAAAGGTCATTAGATTTAGCAGTGGAGCAGTTTCAGTCAAGTATTGAGGATGACCGAAACCAGATTGCAATGGGCTGAAGAGAAAGTGGAAGCAATGTGTGTAGATAACTTTTTCTTGGAATTCTTGAAATATATGACCTTTGAGGTATGATAGAGTTAATTGCAGGCTTTTTAGGGATGGGAAAGACCTGGGCATGTTTGTAGGCAACAGGGAAAGAGCCAATGAATAAAGTCATATTTATAGGCAACGGAGAAGAGTCCAGTTAGACATTAGGGAGAGAGGTGAAATTGATTAATAGGGTGAGCTCCTACAAGAGACAGGAGAGGATGAGATCAAGGACACAAGCCTCTAGAAAGGTTGAGCTTGGCAAGGAGAAAATCCACCTCATTAAATGTAAGACCACAGTAGGAAAGAGTCAAAGATGATCCTGAGGTAATTTCAAGGACAGGTTGCTGCAGACAGATGGCCTTAATTTTTTCAATCAAGTATGAAGAAAGGTCCTATGCTAAGGGGGAGTAGGGAGAGTGTGTCATAGGTGGGTTTGAGAATAGGTTTGGAAGAGCAGTTCTGGGGAGTTTGATAGATAGTTGATCAAGAAAGTGTAAAAAGAATGGTATGCATCAATGAGGGCCCATTTGAGGTTAGATAACATAAATTTTTAGCAGACCCAGACCAGTTAAAACTTTTGCAAGAAATATTCAGTAGTAGAGGAGAAGAGAAATCAGGTGGTAGGAGTATTTCAGAGTTCTGGGCTGGGAAAGGGATGAGGGATGATAAGGGTAAGAGATTCAAAGGTAGAGGGCAGGGTAAAGTGAAACTAGCTAATTAAAGGATCAATTTTTGGAAGAGAGGAAAGTGAGGCCAGAGCAGAGGTGATAGTCTGGAAAAGCAGGGAAAGGTGGAGTGACTGGAAGTTGAAGTGAGGGCAACCAGTTAACAAACATTTATTAAGTGCCTATTCTGTGCCAAGTTATTCGAGTTACTGAGTTACTGGAAATGCAAATCTGAAAAATGAAATGGTCCTTCCCCTCAAGGAGCTTACATTCTATCCAAGAAGACAACTGGTATATTAGATACATATATATATATATATGTATATGTATGTGTGTACACACACATACATATACACATAGCTATTCAAAATAAATACAAATTAGGGAAAAAGAACATTAGCAGTAGGGGGAGGGGTAAGGACCAGAAAGCTTCCTGTGAAAGATGGTACTTGGCCATGTCTTGTAGGAGGTGAGGGATTCTATGAGAAGTAGGTAAGGAGGGAGCATATTTTAGGCATGGGGGATGGCCAGTGCAAAGATAGAGATGGAGATGTGTCATATGTGAGGAACAGTCTGCTGGCTGGATTGTGGAGTACAGGAAGCGGAGTGATATATAATGAGGTTGGAAAGATAGACTGAGGCAGGTATATTTGAGTGGAATGAAGGTACATACACATCATGAAGTTGAGGAGGTTGATAAACCAGTAGGCAGGGATACTTGAGGGGATAACAGTATGTACATTGAAGTAAGTAAAAAGGTAGGTTTTGGTGTAGTGAGGAAAACTGAGCCAGGTTCTAAACTCCTTAAGTAAGGGGAGAAATGACCTATGGTCTGGTAGATAGTGACTGCCAAGATCTGGATAGGGTGACATACCTGGATGGAGTGGACCTCAAAGAAAGACTGGTCACTAGGGGTTGGTAGGTTATAGGGGTAGGGATTAGAAATGACAGAAGCAAATCTTTTCCTGGCCCTATGTGTTGGGCTTGAGAGAAAAAGAAGTCACTTCTCTTTAGTCAAGCTGATTTCTGAGGGCCGTTCCAGCTCTCAAATGATGTGTTTCTAGAACTCTGAACTAATACTAATGAGGTTCCTGTCATTGTTAGTGGACCTGGTATGGAACATCTCTTTTTACTATCTTCTCTTAAAATTTTTCAACAGTTGGAGAAGAAGAAACAAGAGAACAAAATGAGAAGAGACCAGTTAAATGATGAATATCTGGAACTATTAGAAAAACAGAGGCTATATTTTAAAACTGTGAAAGAATTCAAGGAGGTAAGAGCAAGGTTTTGACCAAGTTGTCTATGGGTAACGCATTTTGGGAAGGACTTTGATAAGCTGGAGGATGTCAAGAGAAAGGCAACCAAGATGAAAAAAACCTTGAGTTCAAACCACGTAAGACTCAGTTGAAGAAGTTGGAGACATTTAGCTTAGAGAAGAGAATACTATTGGGACATGGTAGCTGTCTTCCAGTATCCTAATGGACCATCGTGTAAAAGGGATTGAACTTGTTCCATTTTGGTCCTAGAGAACAGAACTAGGAGCAATGGATAAAAGTTGCAAAAAGGCATATTTGACTTGATACAAGGGAAAACGTCTTAAGAATAGAACTTTCAAAAGTTGACCCAGTAAAGGTCATCACACAGAGGAGGAAGAGCCCTTGTCTGCTATGTTGTCTGAAGGAATTCTTGTGTAACTGTAGGTTGGACGAGAGAGTCTCTGAATTCTCTTCCAGCTCTTGAGGTTCTGTGACTCTGACACTGGGATCTAGATTGCCTTCACTTTGGCCCCCGTCAAAATGTTTCTTCTTCAAAGATAAGAATGAAGATTTTTTTCTAGTGATTTTTTTTTCAAGAATTGTAGCAAGGAATGGTCAGTTGGAACCTCAGTTTGCATGTGAAGTATGGTATTTGGCTGTCATCTGCCTGCATTTCCTCAGTCCAATAAGTAAGTTAAAGTGTTATGAGATATTGCATTATTAGAAACTTTAGATATACTAAGAGTTTTGAGGTTTGGAAAGTGCTTTACATTAGATTATTTTTTTCCAGCCTCAGGGCCAACCTTATGAAGTAAGAGCTGTTGTTGTCCTTATTTTATAGATGAGAGAACTGAAACACATAGAGAGTAAATGACTTTCCTCGGGTCACATGCCTGGAAAGCATCTGAGGGTGGGGTTTGAACCTCAGGTCTTCCCTCCAAGTGTAGTACACCATCCATTGCATCATGCTGCCTCTGTCATCAAGAGTTGAATGAGCTCTGACCTAAGCACATTAAACTTAAAAAACTGCACTCAAATGTCATATGGCATCAACCCACATAAAGACCCTCATAAAAACTAATAATTTTGATTGAAACTGAATGTTATCCAACTTACAGAATTCTAGATCTCACATAACCTGTCCCTATGTGTCTAGGCAAACTTCTGTTGTTCTCCTGTTTTTCCAGAAATATAACTTGTCTGAAAAGCTCTTCTAAAAAGAACCCTCCACATCTCCTGATAACACATTCCAAGGTCTCATCAGCCTTAATGTCAGGGCATTTTTCCTTGTCAGCCTAATTCTAGATCAGGCTTATGTTTTGCTTAGAGACTTAACTAAAGATCATAGTCACTGAGTATAAGGTTTAGAAGTGACCTGTGAGGCCATCTAGTCTTACCTAAACAGAAATCTCTTTTGGATGCAAAATCTGCCTTGCTGTAACTTCCGTCTACCTCTGGGCCTAATTCTGGCCTTTTGGAAAAAGCAGAATTGATGACTGTTATCAAAGGACACTTTGGTTTATCAAGCAATTTAAAATGAATCAATATTGAGTTTTGCATTGATTTTAGAAAACTGAGAGATTACTTTTTTATCCTCTAGTAGCAATAGCCTAATAGGTAAAGTAGATGTAAAGGGAAAGAAGCGCTATATGGAGCCAAAGGAGTAATGTTCAGTCTCCTCCTTGGAAAATGAAGTGTTGACAGTGGTGATTGAAAATAGAGAAGGTGGCCAGCTCCTGTGGAATAATCACTATCCACTCCTTGTTGAGAGTTCCCCTTTCTTTGAAACCATTTGCACCTGGCCTAGCTAGCTTTCTGCTCCCCAGTTGGTTAGAAGCCATTGAGGACAAAGACCATGTCTTATTCTTCTTTGCATCCCTCACAACACCCCAAACACATTATCTTGTGCATAGTAGACATTCAGTAAATACTTGTGCAATTCAAAATGGCAGAAAGGCTGACTTTGTCAGAATCAGAAGTCAATAAATGTTTATTAAGCACCTACTATGTTTCAGGCACTGGGCTAAGCTCTGGGGATACAAAGAAAGGCATAAGATAGTTCCTACCCTCAAGGAGCTAACAATGAGATGATGATGATGATGATGATGATGATGATAATGATAGAAGAAAATAAGTAAAAAGAAGTTGAAAATCAGTGGGGACAGGGTGAGGGAAGTTACCTATCATGGGTTATGAAGAAGTCCTGTAGCCAAGGTGGGAAATGATATGAGGAAGTGAGTTTCAAGATTAGATTTCATCTTGCAAAATGATGAGTTTCCAGAGATCATGAAGTCCAGGAAAGCAGCCAGGTGGGAAATGATGAGGTGAATTCTCAGGATGTGCTTTTCAAACTGAGGATCTGAGAGGAGCTCCCAGGTGTCCACCCATTACTCTCCCCTATCAGAGGGAGGGGCCCCACTGGGGGCCAGGGGTACTGAAGAGATGTGAGTTTCAGAATTGATAACATCTTGGAGAATGATGAGCCAATGTGGGAAATGAGCTTAAGAAGTGAGTTTTAGAGTTGATTTCATCTTGCAGAATGATGAATTTCGGGATATCATGGAGTCCAAGAAAATTGTCAGATGGAAAATGATGAGGTAGAGTCTCTGGATGCCATTCTTAAATGGATAGACAATATTTATTAGCTAGAATCCCTCTAAAGACTGACAAGGATAGTGAGGTTACTCAGAACCATGCCATATAGGGATTAGAAAAGGAAAGACTCAGAGTAGACATGACAGCAATCTTTAGTTCTGCTTTAACCCGAAGAGCTTCTGAACCTAAACCAGTGGGAAGAAATTATGTGGAGACAGATTTTTTATTCAAAATAATGGAAAACTTCTTAACAGTTCAATTTGTCCAAAAATAGAATCATCTGCTTTGAGAGACAGTGAGTTCCCCCTTGCTAGAGATTCTTAAGCAGAGCCTTGATGACTCTTGGGGTAAGAACTGGGCTACATGATTTCTGAGGTTGCAGCAGGTTCTGGAAATTTGTGCTTCCATACTGTTTCCTAAAACTCAGAACTCAAGACTATTATGAATGGCTTTACTACTCCTGGGCTTCTTCTCTTTTTTTAATCTGAATGAACTAAAATAAGTAAAGACAAAACAAAGACAAAAATGAGAAATGTTTGTGCACTGGTTTGGTGATGCTTACGTTTCCTGAGACAGAAGCAAACACCTTCAAAGTGCTAGAGTGTCATCTCCAGGGAAAGTAAAATGCTTATTTTATACTTGAGTAAGGAGAGACTTCTTAGACCTCTTGAAAGATGCTGTGTTGTACTTTCTTGCTGTATATTCAATCAGTAAGCATTCGTTAACTGCCTCCTCTGTGCCAGGCACTGTGGTAAACACTGGGGATTTAAAGACAAATGAAACAATTCCTGCCCTAAAGAAGCTTACTTTCTAATGGGGAAGGCAACATATACCTATACGAGTTTATACAGAATATATATACATACATACACACATACATATAAATGAATACAATGTAATTTTAGGAGAAAGGGTAATAGAAACTAGGATGATCAAGAAATATGCACATATAGGGAACACATGGGACATGGGCACATGCAGGGAGGGCCAGCTCATGGCTGCAACACTGCAAAGCTGCCAGTGATTTCTGTTACTGCCGTCACTTTATGTAACTTCTGTGGGTTTCCTCGTTTGCAGTGTATTACCTCCTGCTCGTGCCCATCATACTTCCTGCTGGGCCCACTCCCCGCCAGGCACAGGTGCTGCTGTTTACTCCAGCTAACTGTTAACCCTGCCTATTTTCAGGCTCACTTAATACCCTGAAGAAATAGTCACTGGAAGGGGAGAGAGAATGTTGTGGTGAATAATCCTCTGCTGTGAGCCTGTTCCTTATGCCTCCTTCAGTGCCTCAGCTCTAGCCCTCAGCTGACGTGCTATTTTCAGACCCACCTCCAAGTCTGTGCTCCATCTTCAGAAGGTGCTGTGATTAATAAGCCTTTCCCTTCCAGGCAGGCTCTCTGCTCACTTGGCATTCTCAGCCAGTAGCCAGGAAACTTCAGTCCTTTCCATCCTCCTCATCCAGTAGCTAGCAGGTTCTCTCCATCTTTCTCAGTTAGTCTCTTGTCCACTGGCTTTGAAATTCTTTTCTCAGGAATGTTGCCTCAGAATGTACAGAGGCCTAGGAAATTATCAGCTTTGCCCTTTGGCTTCTAGCGCTGGGCCTGGAGTCAGAAGACCTGAGTTCAAACCTGGCCTCAGACACTTATTAGCGGTATGATCCTGGGCAAGTCACTTAACCCTCAGTTTCCTCACTTGTAAAAGGAGCTGGAGAAGGAAATGGCAAACCACTGTTAGTATCTTTACCAAGAAAACCCCAGAAAGGGGTCATGCAGAGTCAGACACAACTGAAAATGACTAAACAACAACATTTAACTACACTGAATTGCCTTGACTTCCATTCTCTCTTCTGAGTCTCTCAGTTCACTTGTCATCTTACTTATGATAAGAAACTCAGCTTAGTTTTTTTTAGGTCTGTCTTCCACTTCTGACTGAGGTAGATCTCTCCAGGGCATTAGTCCTCAAACAGAAAAGGAATTGAGAGACCCTGTGGTAAAGAAACTTGTTTTAACTTCAACCCAACAGCCCCCTGTACTGTGCAAAAATAGCAGTGGCTACACTGACCCTTGACTCTTGTCCACCTTCCCCAGCCTCATATCCTGGTTTCTTCCTCTGACTTCTCATGATTTTCTTGCATCACTCTCATTTCTCTTCCCAGTTTTTCCTCCACTTCTCTTACTTGCTTCTCAAAATCCTTTTTGAGTTCTTCCATGGCCTGAGACTGATTCATATTTTTCTTGGAGGTTTTGGACGTAGGAGCTTTGACTTTGTTGTATTCTTCTGGTTGTATGTTTTGATCTTTGTCACCAAAAAAAGATTCTATGGTCTGACTTTTTTTGTACAATTTACTCATGATCCCAGCCAATTGCTTGAGTTAAACTCTTTGTTAAAGTAGGGGTCTGCTTCCAGTGTGGAGAATATAGTG